TAGTGCAATCATGTCCTGTGTAGTAGCAACTTTCTCTTCATTCTCCGTTTCATTTTCTCGCTTTTGAACTAGCATTCCTTGCGCATGCTCACATCCTAGCAATAAGACACAAAGGCAAGGATGCCGGGCATGCGCGCATGCTGCTGGGGAGGCTCGGGGCTGAGTTCAGATGCGCTGTCCCAAAAGCAGGCCTGCGGCTGCGGAGGCCTGCGGCGCAGCAGTGGGGGCTCCGCCTTCACCCGGGAGGAGGGGCGCTTGGCAGGGGAGGCGGGGCTGTGTGAGGACTCCAGGGCAGTTAGCGCCCCGGAGAGGTGCAGCGGTCATCACGCTCAGCCCTGTGGAGGGTGCAAGGCGAGAGCCATGCGCAGAGTCGCACGGAGGCGGGCTAGGGCCGCTGGGGTCCTTGCAGCCCTTCCCGCGCCAGGCCGAGGGTGGTGCTGGCGTCCCAGGCTCGTCTTGGGAAGCGGAGGGTTTCTGTCTGCACCGCCTGACTGAGGGTTCTGTGCACAGCAGCGCGTCTCCAGTCTTCTCCTAGGGCGGTGCTGCCTGCAGTAGGGCTGGTCTTATCTCCGACAGCCCCGGTCTGCCTGCTAAACTAGGAATAAGAATAAAATAGTACGTTGAGAGCATTTGGGGAAAAACAGTAATGCTTAGCATCTTTCTGGAAAGTCTGCATGTGTATCAGAGGAAGTGCTACGACGAACTGGAAGTATTTATATGTGTCATAGACAGAACATATAAAGTAATGATCCCAGATAGGTTCTTTTAAAATAGCCATTTGCTTATAAAATCTTTTTGCTTCTTTAGGTAATTAAAGATTCTTGCCGTCTCCCAAGAGACAGAATAGTTGAGGATTTTGTTTGGGCTCAGTGGGATACGCCCGAACAGAGACTATACTACATCAATGTAAAGGTAAAAGCTAGTCCGTGGCACTCCTTTTAACAAGAATCATGCGCTTCTGACATTCTCATTACTGCTGTCTTTTATCAATCACTGCATTTTCATTGATAAGCACAATCAAGGAGTACTGCTTGTATATTTCTGTGTGTGTGTGTGCGTGAGTGTGTGCGCGTGTGTGTGTGTGTGTGCAGTGTTGGACACTGAGCCGTGGCCTCTCACAGGGGTGGTAAGAATTCTGCCACTGAGCCACGACCTCGGCTAATCCTGGCTACTTCTTCACTGCTTCCTTTTCTCTTCCTTCCTCCTGTCTCTTCCTAATGTTGTTGTTGGTCTTACTTGGGACAGGTAACATGTCACAATTTTCTCTCGTAGAGATCAAGGCCTGTCCTAAAATGCATCCAGTTTAATGCAGATGAGAGCTTTACCTTAATGGTAAGTCCAGGGAATGATGGGCTCCAGGCAGTTCAGAAGACGCTGCCCCTTTCAGGAGAGTCGCTGTCCTGAACAGCATGTTAGCGTTTGGGGTGCTGTGTTGGTCACTTGTGCGGGCAAGTCCCGGGGTGCCTGCTAGCTCCAGGCCTCAGCTCTGTCACCAACGCTGTTACCCAGGGGGCAGAAGTGTGCACACAGAATCGCTGTGTGGCTCCCATGCAAGAGACAAGAGTCAGGAGCAGGTAACAGATGTGGTACCAGCTCTCTGTGGCGGCAGCTGATTTGCCCCCAAAGGATTTGTGCGTTTGTGCATTTGAGGCTAATAAGAGGGTCTGGTTTAATTGGTGAACATGTAGCCTTGTTCCTAGGAAGGCTGTCGGGAGCATCGGCCTGTCCTGAGGTGTCACACTGTCTGTGCGCGCTCTACCCTCCTTCTTGCGAGGCTGGCATCTAGCGCAGAGTGAGTGGACACATCACAAGGATTTCCTGCCCCTCTGCCTTCCGTGGGTGCAGCTGCTGTCCTTCTAAAGGCGCCCAGGTCTCCCTTACAGAAGTGACCATCTGGGACTTGTAGGAGACTGCAGGGTCAGTTGTCCTGCTGCACTGCCCAGTGGTGATGGTCATGTGGAAGGGGACATTTGCCAAGCACAGGGCAGGCACCACCAGACTTTCAGGCATACCTGAGTGTCACAACCGTCACCAATTACTGAATGCCATTTTTTGAGTTCATTTTCTCTTGATTTTTTTTTTTTTTTGGCAGTTTGAAACACCCTTGGACATACCATTAAGTGGCTCTGAATTTAAGTAAGTTATTTGATTAATTTTTATAGGCATAAGACAATTACACTTATTCCTAAATCAAGATTATGGGTAAAAGGACAGCTTGATATTCTGTGTGCATCTGTCTCATATTTTTTCTCTGTAGGGGAAATAAACAACTTACCAAGCACAAACACAGGATTTTGTAT